CATAGGCCACTGGAAAGAAGAGATAAAAAACCAAGGAGTCATCCCATGAGCTTGACCCTCTTTGGATTGCCAAAACAGATTCCCCACTGAACAACACTGCGCCTTCCAGACTCTCAGAGAGATTGAGTCATTAGATGAAGCCTTTTAATCAGAAAAATAGCGCTGATATTATGATCTCTTTCTCCATCAACGTCATTGCTCCTCACCCTCTTTGCTACATTTTCCAGAGACAGCAAGCGGCCTCTGGCCTTTGGGTGACATCAGCCTCTGCTGTTGATTCACTGGCTCCATCACTGCAGGTCCCATGCTCGGGGAGGGCGTGGGTCGATGACGTGGGCCTCTTGGGTGACTCAACCGGAGCTGAAACCAACCACAGACTGCAGAGTTGTGCTCGCTAGGTTTTATTTATTTCACGACCATGACGGCTATAGATTCTACCCATTCTGAACACGGCATGAATAAAAGATCTATTTTTAGTCATAACTGGTTCCGTTGAAAAGAAATCTCTAATACATGAAGGAAACTACAAAAAAAAAAAACCCAAAAAACCCAGATCTACACGAAGGAATAAAGAGTCGTGGAAATGATCGTTACATAGCTAAATAAAGATGTTTGTTCTTATCATTTAAACCTCTTCGAAATAAATTTTCGGGGAACCTAGCAGAAGGAGGTTAAGAGAACAAACACCAGGGCAGTTGATCAAGGCGGACAAAACATGAGCAGATATCGCTGCCTTCGCTTCAGAAAAAGAGTCAAAAAGGTAAATATTCACAATGACGACGAGAATGGAAGAAGGATCGACAGCTGGCGAGCGGAGCCTCAGAAAGGCTTAGGGACTGGAGGCCCTCGATGCCTCTGAAAGTTAGCATTTGGGGTGGGCAGGAAGCCAGAGGATCTGTAAAAGCTCTCCAGAAAGGGGTGTGGTACCCCATAACTCCATCCTAAGCCTGTGCTGTCTCACCACAGTGGAAGACTGGGAGGTTTATTCTCTGCAGAAGGTGAGCTGGAAAGGCCCTGGACTGGGGGACACCACCTACAGCTCAGGGATGGCTAAGTCACTCTTCTGAAAGTGAAGATTAAGTGAAAACCCACACGCTTTACTTTGATTCAGGCTTGTACCTCCAGACACATGTATGGCTGAAAGATTCCTTTTTGGGAAAACTGACAGCTCAAGAGAAAATACCTTCAAATGCCCACATGGAGGTGGGGGGCGGGGGTTCTCTCAACAAAGCATAGCTGAGTATCTGCCTTGTCCCTCTGCAGAGGAGGCTGCAGGCTGTCAGGAAGCCTCCTGCACCGACCAGAACTTCTCGTGAATATTAAAGTGACTTATTTAAGTTATCTGCCTTCTGCAAAAGGCCTCTAAAATGCGAGATGGGATAAAACACATACACAGAGAAAAAGAACTTGGAGGGAAAAAAAGAGTACATGGAATGTGCGACAAGGTCAGCAGAAATGTTACTATTCTGAGAGCGACAGAGAAGAGGGCATCTGTGATCTGGGG